GGATTGAAGGAAGGAAGATGCTTTAAATGCAGTTTGGTTGTTTTTGATGCGACTTGAAATTAGCCAACAGTTCTTCCTAATTGCAAAAACTTTAGCCTGAGAAATCATTTCATTAGTTACTTTTAACAAAATATTTAATACTTCTACTACCACCACCACTTTCCCTACTACATGACTTCTGTTTTACTTCTTCGTCGAGATGAAGCAACCGAGTATGGTTACAATTTAATTCTAGGCTGTTGAAGATATACAAAAGCCTGTGTACACAACATATTGAATTTTAATTGTCTTCATTTTGCTTCCTAAGAGAGATCCATTCGATTTAATTCTTGATTCTACTACAAAAATTTGTTTATTCCAATTACTCATATTTTTTTTTGTGTCAACTTGACTCCTTTGCATGAATTATTTTCCATTGGTATTACTCTTCGAGAACATTTTTTTTTTATTTTTGATTTATGACCTACATGAACACTAAACAGATTAATTTTTATCACATCAAATATATTTTCCAGCTTATCTTTCAATCTATATTTTTGCTTGTTTTCCGAATGCTATCATTAAAAAATGTTATGCAATTACGTACTCAGGCAGACAAATAAGAAATCCATCATGTTTATACAGATCCACAAATATATAGATAAGTGATAGAAAATTGAATGCAACTTTTATGTTTTTCTATATTTCAGTCAGTTTTATAAAATATATTATTTTCTTCTGAAAAAACTCATTGAGCCAATAAAAACTTATGTCATAACTATTTTTGTGAAAATTTTTAATACAAACTTTAAAATTATTTTTACTAAAATTTATACATTTATGTAAATGTTACAGTTGTGAGAATTAGGAGTATTATTACCCTAATATGAGGAGTATTGGTGCAAGTATACTTCAAAAGAGGGTTTATCTTTTCCTGGACATCATTCGTAGAAGGGCATTTAAATAATTCAAATAATCTCAATGGCGAGTACATTCAATATATTACATCAATATATACTTTCTGGAACTCATTTATCACGCTATAAGGTTAGTAATAATTAGTTACCTATTCTACGAACAATGAGAACTAAAATGTAATATTTTAATTAAATCTTATCCTCTTAAAAGACACGAAGGAAAAACTTTAGAAGCCATAAAATAAATAAATTAAATTAAATAAAATTAATAATTACTCCTCTTTCCATACTCAAGAACTAAATTTATTAATCAATACTATCATTCCATAGAGACTCTATAAATAGTCACAACACTACACATTAAAAAAAACATAATTTCTAATTTAAATTTACTATTCACAACTTATGAAGATCCAATCTCTGAAGAAGTAAACCAAAAATATATGGAATTATGATTTATTTATTTTTTTTATAAATTTATACTCGCATAATTTTGTATCTAAATTGCAAATTACAAGTAACTGAATGCATAAATTAATAGAGACATTCCTCTCACTGTTCTACAGATTAGTCCACGTCATTATTTATAAATTATAATTTAATTTTTCTTTTGTATTATTCATTTATATAGTTAGTATTATACACCTGGTTTAAATATCGCTGATAAAATTTAATAGATATCTTCTCTTAAATCCAAAAAGCATGTGCAATTTACATCGTATATCTATATATATATATATAATAAATTATGTATATATATAATAAAAATATTCACAGTTATTATATTACACGACCATTAGAAAGACCATATTTTTCGCAAATCTTTATTTTTTTAAAATTGTCGTTAATACCATTCATTATCCATTGCACACTTAACGACTCGGTTTTTTTCCCATGAAAGATAAAAATATTTTTTTTAATTGATAAGAATAGTAAGATTTTATTATGTAATCACATACACACGTATAAAATGTGTACTATATATAAACTATAATTTTCACTACACATTTAAATGCTATTGAAGTCTTAACGAAGCATGTAATCTTGTAAATTAATTTGTCCCTAAAATTCTATAAATGCAAGTCTGGTCCATCTGAAAGGATCAACAATTTTTCACAATTCTTCGCACTTTCCTACTTCATTCCCCGTTTAGTTGTGTTTCTCGTTCTTCATGAAATCATAAACTACAGAGAAATCCTTGTTGCCCAAGCCCTTTGACTTTAATGTACGGTAAATTTGATGAGCCATACCACCCAATGGAATTGGTGTATTAGAGGCAGTAGCTACACCAGAAGCCAAGCCCAAATCCTTGGTGATTAAATCAGTAGAGAAACCACCCTTGTAGTCATTGTTGGCTGGTGCAGTAGCTGTAATGCCAGGAACTGGATTATATAATTCAGATGCCCAACAACGACCTGTTGATGAGTTGATAATATCAGCGAATGTTTGTGGGTTCAAACCCAAACGGATAGCCAAGTTCATTGCCTCGGAAACACCAATCATAGAAATACCCAACATCATGTTGTTGCAAATTTTAGCAGCTTGACCCATGCCGTAATCACCACAGTGTGTAATACGTTTACCCATGCACTCCAAAACAGCTTTTACGGCCTTGTATTCAGCTTCAGTGCCACCAACCATGAAGGTCAAGGTCGCTTGTTCTGCACCAGGCACACCACCAGAGACTGGTGCGTCAATGAAACGTGCGCCCTTCGAGCTGACCATCTTCTGGATGGATTTCACAACGTTGGGATCAATTGTGGAGGAATCGATGAAAATTGTGTCCTTATTCACACCATTGGCTGTCATTTCATTGTATGTGTTGGCGACGATGTCGTTATTTGGCAACATAGTGATGACGAAGTCAGATTTCTGTGCCAGATCGCTGGTTTTCTCATAAACAGTAGCGCCCTTGGCCTTGAGATTATCGCAAGCCTGCTTGGAAATATCAAAAACATGCAATTTGTGGCCTTGCTTCATCAAGTTGCTAGCCATGTGTCCACCCATATTGCCCAAGCCCACGAAGCCGATGTTCTTGGAAGCACCCTGTGTAGACATGCAACGTACCAGGGTTTGGCTAAGAGCGTTCATTGCTGGAGAAGTACACACAATACGTAGAGCCATTTTGCTATATTTTTCAGTTATCCAAAGCCTATTGAATCGAAAGATAAACGCAATAAAAATTATGTAATTTAGTTAAAATACGCAGCACAAATAAAAAATAAAATAAAAAATTC